TGTCTGAGACGAAATTGCCCCCAAGTGATGTGCGTTGAGAGCTCCCGTTGCATCGTACCAAATGTGTTCTTTGCAGCATCCCTGTTAAGCACACTGCCAGCACGCTGACCACCAGAGCTGGGTGTTGATGCTTTTAAGTGAAGGGGAAGCAACAGTTCCCTCCTGCATTATCTACCTGCTGTTGTTTCGTCTCAAGCGGTTGTGAAAACATTTTGGTGTGTCAGCACCGTGCACGCACGTAACTCTGTAGTGGGACTTGACACCACGACTTACTCGCTTCCTTGATGCCTCCTGTCATGGTGAAAGTAAACACCCTTGTCCCACAGACCTGGTTCCACTGGTATTCCCCATTGCTTCTGTGAGTAGTGTTGTGTTCCTGGGCGAAATCCGTCACGTTTCGGCGAGAAATCCCTAAAGAGAGGTTGGTGACTGGGGTAATCCAAATCTCCAGACCTGCCAATTCGATAGATCTGTGCTCCCTACACGGCTGTGCTGTGTTCTTCTGTCAAAGGGTTCTTAGAGAAAATAGTTCCTGTCTCTTCTTGTTAGTCTAGGTCAGGGCACTGCAGCTGCCCTTCCACCAAACCTGCAGCTCAGCCGCGTCCCCCGGATGCGCCTGCTTCCGTCTCTCGCCTTAAATGGGTATTTGCTTCCACACAGAGCTTTAATCTGTAATGCTGTCCAGCAGTCACTCAGAACACAGACACCCAGCCAGAGTTAGTGCACAGAAAGGAAGAGGAAGGTTTGATCTTGTGTTTTGATCTTGCCTTTGAGGAGCTGGGTGCGTAAACAACCCAAAAAGCCAAAATTGGGTGCAGCTTATTTGAAGGATGAAGGCAACAGCAGATCATTTACACATGGTGTACCCTGTCCTCTGTCCAGTCAATGCCATTATTATATTTCCATCACTTAAATTGAGAAGCAGTTAGGAAGGTACATCTTGAGTAACATTTGTAAGTCACGCCACTTTCTGCAAGGAGGGAGACCACACAGTTAGTCCTTAATTCCCACTCTTCTACCAAAAATGAATTTGAGATGTCCACATGGTTTTCCCTGCTGCCTTTTCCTGCAGAAAGTAGATGGAGATTTGCAGGCTGCTCTTCTCTGCTCTCGTTCCACTCCCTAAGATTTGGATTGCCCCTACCTATCGATAACATTTCAATATGCATTATGGTGCACCGTGAGTGAATGTTGTAAAGTAACCTGTAAGTCACAAACAGTCATTGCAGCTTTAAGTGTGTGTCTACCTGAAAAATTGCATGCCTAACTGGTTTTGCAAAGGTAGAGGGTCTTTTTACTTTGCACACTAGTAGCTCCGGTACTAGTGTTACGTGATACTTGTGAAAATATTAAACTTTTTTGATGTGCGTTAACTGGTGTTTAGTGGTTCTTTCTGGAAGAGGTGCTGTTGGCTGGTGGCTTAGTGCTTTGGGAAGAGCTATTGTGTAGGGAGAGCTGCAACCTAATCCCAGTGGTGCCTGTGTTTTGTGTGTGTGTTTTTATTCCCGGGCATTCGGGGTCAGATTCACACAGGTCCCCGTGCCTCGTGTTTCCTAACGTAGTTCAGCAGAGGCACAGCGCTGACAGCGCCCAAATCTTAGGGGCCCTGTGGCTTGTCTGGGTGCCCCTGTCTTGTGCAGGGGGATCTGTGCTGCAGGAAAGCCTTGGGGTGCTGCACTGAGGGCGGTGTGGTTACACTAGGCTGTGAGGGACTGGTGAGCTCCCTGTGTGTGTAGGGTTAACGCCGGCTCAGTCCCGGTGTCAGGTGCTCTGCAGCCCTGGCTGGCACAGCCTGTGATGGGGCTGTGCTAGATGAAAGCCCCTATTGCGTACACTAAAGCTGTGCTTCTCCAATAACACGTTTTATGTTACAGCTTGAATAGTCTCTGACAGCCTTGATGTGCAGCTATGACCCCAAACAGGAGACAGAAGAAGGTGAGAAACTTTTTTGGGCACAGGGGACACGTTGCATTTGAATTGCTTGGAGGTTTGCAGATCTTGTGCCTGCCGCCGGCAGTGCTGTAGGGGTGGTGTGAGCCGTGCCTGGGGACCTGGCTCTGGAGCTCTTTGGCACCTGAGGGCCAGGCTCAGAGCAGGATAGAGGGTGAAGGAGAAGTGGAAGTTAAACTTGGTCTCAGGGTGACTGTGGATTTTGGAGATGCTGGCATAGGTCGTTTTGTTTATTGGATCCAGCTCATAACAAATAGGGAGTGAGTTTGTGTTTCTAACTTTTCCTACCGTGGACCATAGTTGATGTGCTTGGTAAGACAAGAATGGCAGTTCTTTTCCAAAGGGAGACATGGTGGGATTTCCATTTCCAGACTACTTCTTACCCCTAGGAAACTGTTCCAAGTGAATCACAAGCTATAACTGTCTGAAGAAATGTCTCCAATGTTACCCAATCAATGACTGAGATGTCTTTCTTAAAGCTTTTAGGCTTGGTGAATAAAATCACAGTCCTCTTAACTGTTAAGCTGTAATTACTGCAATATGAACACAAGAATCTTATATTTCCTGGGGAAAAGACCATTTGCATACCACTGTTGTAATGTCATCTGCTCCTTACTCCTCTGGGGTTCTCTCAGAAGCCTTTTGAATGGGTTTTAAAACAAGCAGACCTTGTTTTGTTTTGTTTTCTTAAGAAAATAGCAGAAGGCAAAATAAAGTGTTTCTGAACTTCTGAACCCCGTTCTGTGCTTTTTGTTCATTCCTTTGCCATATAAATGAGATTCTTCAAAGTGTTTTTCTTTACTGACTGCAGGGACTCTTTGCTACTTAGAGCACAAGTGAACATGCAGGGGAGGGATTTATTGCCAACCTGGAGGTCTTTACTGCTGTGTGGCATTTAACCCTGTCTATATTTATTAATGGAGAATTGCATGTACTTACCATGGGGCATGACTCGTGTATCACAGGAATAACGAGGCCTGCCATGTAACAAGGGCTTGGAGCATCTCTGCTTCCTTAACTGTAGCTGTTTCTATGGGATAAAACCTCAGGATCTGCACTGTGAGTCCACCAGGGCACAGAGAAGTCCTTTTGCAACCTGAAGAAATCATCCTCTGCTTTCTGCTCCCAACAAGAGAAAGAGATGCCTCGAGTGTCAGAAAACATCAGTGCCAGCCAGGGACTGCACAGGGATGCACTGGCAGCACGTGTGTGACTCTGGGGCATCTGGAACAGGCTCTGGCTGGATGTTCAGGTGTGATGGAAGAGGGAGGGGGAAGCTGGGATGCTCAGGATGGGCCTGTTTAATCTAAAAAGCTCTGCATTAGAAAGCTGCAGAGTTTAAAGGCCTTAGACTCACAGCAGCTGGGCAGGGGGAGTGCAGCTCACATATATCAGATACTGAGCTCTGTGAGTAGCTGTCCTTCAGTTCCCCAGAGCACGAGTCTCTGCCTGGTCCCAGCCATGTGTGCCTGGCAGAGCATCCCTCCCAAAGGGTTTTCAGTCCCTCTGGCAGAGTGACTTGGTGACATTTACCAATTTTTGGTGGCTGGCCTAAATGCCACCAAAAATTGGTAAATGCCTCTTGCTGCTCTCCCTCTGCCCAGCACACACTCCAGCAGGGCAGCTGTGGGAAGAGCAGGCTGGCCTGGGGAGAGGGCTGGCCAGGTGGACTGGAATGATTTAAAATTGTGAACCTTTTCAGAGGAACCTGGGCTCTCTTGTCCAAACTGTGGGACAAGTTTGTTGAAATAATTGTTCTCCACAGGGCCAGGGAGGTGGAGAAGTGAAGAACATATATCTCATACCTGTATTGGAGCAGGCTTGGGAAAATCGTATCCCTGAGTACTCTTTAGTTCAAGCCATGAAGGCTTTCTCTGGATTTACTGCAGAATTTAAGCCTGGCAGCACTTTGTAGTTTGGCTTTCACTGAGCAAAGCAGAATATTTCAAATAACTGGATCTTGTCAACCTCACAGGAGCTTTTTAGTTGATAAGGTATGGCTCTGTGATATTATTTACAAACCTGTCATGAGAGGTGAATCACACCATTATTAAACGCTGTATTACTTTTACATAATGTTTATATTTCAGCTTCTCCTGGTTTGTGTGCCTGCACATAATGCCTCAGGCTGGGAAGATGACATATTCCAGCTTTTATTTTCATACCTGGGAAGAGCAGTGAGGATAAATGTGGGGTAAGTCTGGAAAGGGAGGTGAAGGGACTATCTGGGAAAAGACAGCAATGGACCACTGCTGTTAGGGCTAAAAGGATGTAAAGAAGGTGGATCCTGATTGGACCCATGAGCCCTGACCAAGCCAGTGGCCATCCCTGGCTACTGACTCTTCTGAGAGCCTCACTCTCCAAATTAGGCACCACAGTTAATGTGAAAGAGAAATCACTTTAGCATGGTTTAATAGGAAACCAACATCATATTTTGGGACAAGGGTTATAGAAATCTAATGACAACATGTTTCTGCTGGTGAAATTGCAGGCATGAAAATCCCAGAATGCAGAAAATTTTGAGGGCAGGCTGGATTTTTCAGTCTGGGTGTGTTAGTGTTTGCCTTTGTTGTAAACAGGCTTTGGTCCACAGTGCCTTGGGGCTGCTGAGCCCTGGGACTTGGCTGCCCACACAGCCCCAGGGTCCATCCCAGCTGGGCCACGTGAGCCCCAGCCTTTCTGCTCCACTGCCTCTTTCCTGAATTCAAATGTCCTGGTGGATCAGAAATCAGGAGATCACAATGTAGAAGAGAATTTATATTCTCCTGATTGGCACTGCCTCAGATCTGCTTTCCTGATTCTTTGGCCTCCTGGGCCTGATGTCTGTTCTGTATTGCAGTTGTTGATGTAAGGGAGGGCTAAACTTGTACCTGCAGCTTGGACCTACATGGATGTAAGTGTTATCAACATGCTGCCTTCAATGCTGATGGCATCTAAAGAAGACCTGTAGGAAAGAGTTGCTCCAGAGAAAAAGACCTGATTTTCAGGCTTCTGCAGATCTGCTGCCTTGGCTTGGTGTATGGGATGGAGCCAGAACCAGGAGCAGGAAATCAGAGTGTTAATTGGGTGAGGGTAAAGGATGTCTTCTCTTTCTCATTCAGCTGAGTTTCTGTGTTGAAACTTGTTGTTCTTGACTTCCTGAGGGTTGTCTGGTAGAGAGATGGGGACATAAGTTTAAGTTTGTCTTTTTCAGTTGCTTTTATGCAGGGACACCACCGGAAGGCCAGCTTGAATCCAGAGCGAAACCTGGCAAAGGGAGAAAAGCAATTAAGTGGTGAAATGATCTTTCTAATTGTGCAGAGGATGAAAAAACTCATGGCTTGGTCCTACCTGTGAATGATTATGGAAATAAATATTTCTGCTGAAATCAAAGGAATGAGGTGAAAAGCCAAATGCATGAAAGCATGGAGGGAGGTGCACTAGGAGTTTCTGATCAGATTTCCCTGTATTTTAAGTTAACATACATGATCAGTGAAATGACAGGGGGTTTGATATGCTCAGTAGATGGTGCTGGCCATGCTGGTAACTGCATTTGTGAGACACAGATTTCCCTGTATTTTAAGTTAACATACATGATCAGTGAAATGGCAGGGAGTTTGATGTGCTCAGTAGATGGTGCTGGCCATGCTATTTGTAACTGCATTTGTGGGACACAGATTTCCCTGTATTTTAAGTTAACATACATGATCAGTGAAATGGCAGGGGGTTTGATGTGCTCAGTAGATGGTGCTGGGTTAGGGTTAGGGTTAGGGTTAGGGTTAGGGTTGTGCTGGTAACTGCATTTGTGGGACACAGATTTCCCTGTATTTTAAGTTAACATATACAATCAGTGAAATGGCAGGGGGTTTGATGTGCTCAGTAGATGGTGCTGGCCATGCTATTTGTAACTGCATTTGTGGGACACAGATTTCCCTGTATTTTAAGTTAACATACACAATCAGTGAAATGGCAGGGAGTTTGATGTGCTCAGTAGATGCTGCTGGCCGTGCTGGTAACTGCATTTGTGGGACACAGATTTCCCTGTATTTAAGTAAACCTATAAGATCAGTGAAATGGCAGAGAGTTTGATGTGCTCAGTAGATGGTGCTGGCCATGCTGGTAACTGCATTTGTGGGACACAGAACAGTTGAGGAAAATACACGTGTTTACCCACTGGGAGCTTTAAAAAAAACCCTATTAATAATTAAATGAGGAAGCTGCTTTCTGAGAGAGGAGGGGGAGGACATGTTTGTGTGTTTCATGTTAAATGCAGTTTGGGTGAATGGGCTGCAAAACTCTTCTTTAGCCAGCTCACAGGACCGAGCCTTGCAGCATCACTCTGGAGTTAAGCACTGCCTGCTGCAGCCCCAGTGACACTGCTCAGGGCCTGTGCTGATAACCATTTATTACCTTTGAAGCTCACAGCGAGCCTGGGGAGGGCTGGGGGGGCTGTGGATGCGGGATTTAGCACGGAGATCCGCGGGCAGCCCGAGCAGCTCCCTGTGCTCTGCAGCGCAGAGCAAGAGGGACATCTCTTGGCACGCTGGGGATGTGCTCCCCCAGCTGCTCCCTCGTGGTGACACCTCCCCACGGCACCTCCACAGCCACCGTGGGCTGCTCCTGCTTCCCACCCGTGGGGTGAGCCCAGGGCTGTGCTGGGGCTGGCCTGGGAAGGGCAGGAGGCTGAGCCAGCCCAGCATTAGCTCAGCAGATGCAGTGCAGGGATTGCAGATCCCTCCCTTGGGAGCAGGATGGGCTGTGTGTGGAAATGGGGGCAAATGTGGCTGTGCTGATCCTGTGCCTGCTGCCTGGGCTTTATTCAGAGCCAGAAAATGCTACAGGCTGAGTTAAAAGCTCAGAGTTTATCCTATCTCACATTATCAACACAGGGTAAGTTAAGTTGTCTTGTTGGCCTAAGGACTGCAGTTGAAAATCACAGCTCTTCTCACTCCAGAGATTTATGCTTTTTTCAGGCTGAGATTTTACTTTTCTCTGTGCACACATGCTCACACTGGCTCACCTCTGGTTCAGGCAGCAGTAGATGATGGGGTTGTACATTGTCGAGCTCATGGCAAGGAGGAAGACTGCCAGATACACCTGCTGAATGTATTTCTGCTGGTAGATGTCTTCCTTGAAGCTCCCCAGGATGAAATAGATGTGATAGGGCAGCCAGCAGACAGCAAAAATGATCACCACTACCACCATGGTCTTCACAAACTAGGAAAACAAAGCCAAGGGGATTATTCCTGGGCTCTGGGTGATTGGGCTTGCTGGGGCAGTGGGGAGTGCTGGTGTCACTTTGAGCCTGGTTTGCCCTCCCAAAGTGCAGAGCATGGAATGTAGACCTGGACTGCTGTGGCAGAGAAACGAGCCCTGGTGATGCAAACTGGGAGCAGGGAGGGAGGGAGTGCCCTGGCCATGGAAACTGGAGCAGGGAGGGAGTGCCCTGGTGATGGAACAGGGCGGGGATTAAAGCAAACCTTTCCCAGGGCACTGAGTGCACTCTGCACAGGAACTGCTTGGAGCTGCACCAGGGAGATGTGCAGGGACAGGAGATTGCTGCTCTTACACTGAGACTGCTCCATCCTGCCCAGAGTTTCACCCTGGTTTATCCTGTGTGGATTCTCTTCACTCTCTAAGGGCTGTGGGCAGCCAGCCTGCTGCTGTGATCCTTTCTTCCTTGAAGGCTGCCTGGTGCATGCCATCACCATTTTTTTTATACTTGCAGGCGTTTTGGGTCCCTTTACCCTGGTCCCAAAATATTTTGTGAACCTTTTGAGCCCAATCCCACAAGATTCTGTATGGAACACCAGCTCCATTTTGGAACTGGAGCCAGCAGGGCTGGCGTGCTGGGAGTAATGATACTTAAGTTTCACTTCTGACCTTTTTTTTGGCATTAACTTGGTGCTCATAGTGGACTCTGTTCAGGTGGCTGCCTGGAGCTGTGCTGCTCCACAGAGTGACTCCTATAATGCTGTATGCAACAAACATCACCATCAAAGGCAGTAAATAAATCAGCACGATCACGGCGATGTGGTACCTGAAAGAGAAGAACAAGCAGTTTTTCACAGTCAGTGTGGCTCCTGCAGAGCTCTTTCAGAAATTGTCTTTTGGATATGTATGCTGGCTCCCATTAGTGAAACCACAAAGAAGAAATTTTGCCTATAGTTATTGTTACAGGGACCTCTGTAAGCAGCAAAATCTCATCTCTCTGGTGGTGTGATGAGGGGTCCTTGGGCTGGAGTCCCTGCTCCTTCAAGGCAGAGTAACATCATTGATCTTTTGGCAGAGGGCTGCAGTCCAGAGCCACCTGCACTGAGCTTTGCTATCTCCCTGCAGCCAGGAGGGACAGAGAGACATGGTGGTAAAAGTACAACCCTTAAATCACAGTTATGGGAAAGGAATAGTCCAGAAACTATAGAGTAACTCCACGAATGCAGCAGTGACAACAATGAAAAAAAGGCAGACCAGGGACTGTGGAAGGCATCTGGCTGCTAACAGGGTGCACAAAATGCAGATGGTGAGGGAGGGATGTTGCCTGTGTTTGTGTAGCTGGCTGGTTTTGTTTGTGTGAGCACACAGAGTTAATGTAGCACCCCCAGCAGGGCACTCAGGCTCTGCTCCAGCTGGAGGCACTGGCACCCATCCCCTCTGCTGCATTTTAACCTCAGCCCTTTCGAGCTTTCTGTGCCACCCCACAAACTTATGCAGGTTCCCTCCTGCTGGGGGCTGATCAGTTTGAGCAAGCACCATTTATGGGAAGGGAACAACCTGCTCAGTCCCTTCCAGCAGCTGCCAAATTAACATAAACACAGTGAAGAGAAGGATTAGGCAGGAGGGCTCTGGCACACGCTGCTGGCAGTGACCCCAAGAGACTGGGGGGGTACAAATGGTCTTTCTCAGTCTGACCAGCTCTGGGGTCACTCCTCACATGAGAGCTTTGCTGTTGGAATGGGGTTTGGGGCCTGCAGTGGTGTTTGTTTCTTGGGGTGAATGCAAATACCACACTGGTGGCTGCATAGAGAAAAATATTATATTTGTGAGATGTGCCAGTTCATCCCTGCCTGTCTTCCACTTTTTCCTGCTGTGCTCAGAGCAGTTCCTCTTTTGAAGGTCTAATGCTGTGTGTGGAGTGCAGCAAAGCCCTTTTAGGGTTCCCATCAAGGGAGGATGGGAGCCTGAGTTTGAGCACATGTAAAAAGAAACTCTCAGTCTTGTAGCTTTACTACTTTGCTGCAAAGTTAACCTGTCACCAGAAGAAAATTCCTCTGTGGTTAAGGTTCTTTACTCTGGTTAAACTTCTATATCCTTTATAGCCAATATTTTTCAGGCACTGGCAGCCAGTAGTGCATTGTTTGGGGTTTTAAAAATTATTATTAATATTTCTTTTTTTACTTCTTTCTGTTATAATTATGCACATCTTTCCTTCAGAAAAGGATTTTCCTATGTTGTGAAGTCTAGAAATTTTGAAAGATGGGTTTATTCAACTGCAAGGGATTCAGAGGGCACACAGTCAACACAGGAACCCAGCTCTCAATTTTTTGGGGGTTTCTTAATATTTCTTTTCCTTGTTATTTGGCCTGGTATGAATGGCTGCACATGGCTTTTTCTCCATGGTCTGCATTGCAGGCATCTGTCCCAACAACCCCATCACTCAGTTTGATTTCTGGGGAGCAATGTTCCCCTCTTCCTTTCTAGGAGAGATACCAGAACCTGCAGATCTGAGGCTGTTCAGGGAGGGAGAGCTGGTGAGTGATGGATTGTGGTCAGGAGCTGCTGCTCTTCAGCTGGAGATCCCAGGAAGGACCTGCCCTGCTATTTGCCACGCTCAGGACCAGCCTTTGCAGCCCACAGGGACTTTGTCAGCATGCTGGGGAACTCAGCTGAATCCTTTCCATGCCATGGATGTGGCAGAGATAAACCTCATGCTTCTCATCTGAAGGGAATAGTCAGCAGTGACTCATGTATTTGTGGTTATCTATTCTCCCTCCTCCTCCATCCACAGCAGCCTGGCACACTGTTCCCCAAAAAGCACCAGAGGGTACCAAAAAGGAGCCCCCAGGAGGAGGAACATCACCCAGCTTGAGAGGTCTGAGCCTGATTTTACTCTTTGCTCAGTGGGGAACAACTGGCAACCACTGCCTGAACATGCTGCAGCTGGGGCAAAATGACACAAAGGTCGTGGAACTTGGCACATATTAGTGTGAAAATCAGTTAATTTGGTAATAGCTAAATTGAGGAGGCACCCAGCTGCCTGCCAGAGATGAAGAGTGAGCAGGGAAAATGTCCCACGTGCATGGAGCCTTCACAGTGGGGTTTGGTTTGAAAAACTGTTTGCACTTTGGTAATTGATTTGTTCCTTTCCCACAGTTCTTCCATTGCTTCTTTGTATAAATTTATATGTTTTTTGTTTGATAAATTTTTCAAAGGTGCATGGTGTGCTCTGACTGATGAGTAATCCCAGGAGATCCCCTGAATGCAGGGTATGGCCTGTTTCATCTGTTTGAACAATCTTGCTTTCAGGCAGGAGGAAATAATCTCTGTGTGGCTCAGGAACCCTCAGGAGTGCAGATGTGTGCCCAGATAAATATGTCTATAAAACCTTGGGATGTTTGAAACATGCTGCTCTCAGGTTTTATTTTCCTTTTCCCCCACAAAGAGCAGCATAATTTTTAACTAATTCCATTAGTAATTATGCTGTGCTGCTGGTGTGAGGAGGAAGCAGCCCTTTATGTCTTCTGCAGACAGGCCTTGCAAGCATTTCCCTTATGGAATTTTTCATAGAATCCCAGAATGGTTTGGGCTTGCAAGGCACCTTAAAGATTATTAAAATCTGTTCCAGGTTGCTCCAAGCCCTGTCCAGCCTGGCCTTGGACACTTCCAGGGATGAGGCAGCCACAGCTGCTCTGGGCACCCTTTGCCAGGGCCTGACCTCCCTCACAGGGGAAGGATTTCTTCCCAATATCCCATCTAACCCTTCACTCCATCAGTGTGAAGCCATTCCCCCCGTCCTGTCACTCCAGGCCCTTGTAAAAAGCATTCTCACTCTTTTATTTAAGTTATTTTTGCAAGTGCCTTACCAACAAAAGCCCAGCCAAAGATACTTTTTCCTCCTCCATTATTATGTCCATCTCTGATGCTTCATTATTAGCACAAGAGCAGACTGGGCTCTTTACCCTGATTTTTGGAACCCTCAGGAGTGCAGATGTGTGCCCAGATAAATATGTCTATAAAACCTTGGGATGTTTGAAACATGCTGCTCCCAGGTTTTATTTTCCTTTTCCCCCACAATGAGCAGCATAATTTTTAACTAATTACGTGGCTTCTCAGCATTAGAGATGCCCAGTTTCCTCCTGCCTGACAGAGGAAGAAAATCCAGAACCTCTCAAACCAGGATTTACTGATTGTTTAGAGATTTTTGCACTGGTTTCTCTTAATTCCCCCACGGCTTGTATATATGATTTCTGGACATTATAACCAGTTTTCAAAGCAGGGGAGGGTGGCAGGTTCAGGATGACCCTGAACCACCACCACCTGGCAGCTTTTTGCACATCTGGCTCCAATGGAGTTTGGATGGGCTGCCCCAGCCCCACATTCTGCTGCTCTCTCTCCCAGCACTCCCCACAGCCAGTTTGGAGCTGAAATGATTTTCCTGCTTAACTTTAGGCGGAATTGGGAGTTTCATGGTGTCCCTTACGCCAGCTGGTGCTTGGATCCCACATCATCCGGCCAGACCACGATGCATTTCATGGTGCCATTGTCCATGGTGATCTCAGCATAGAAGCACTGAGGGAAGGCAAGCCCAAATGCCACCAGCCAGATGATCCCAATGATGACTCTGGTGCTTCCAGCAGACAGCCTGGGCTTGAAGGGGTGAATGATGGCCACATACCTGCAACAACAGGTGCAGGGCTTTTACAGTGAGACTGGCAATCTGTACAACAAACCCAGCAAGTGTAAAACTCACCAGGAGTGAGTGAGCTTTATTAATATAGACATTTTGACAGCTTCCAGGCTGTAAATAATAAGGAACTAAATCCTTTCTGGAGAGAATGATTGCAAGTCTTAGAGCAGGATTTATTAAACCCACATGGGTGGATGCTGCTGGTGTGAGGAGGGAGCAGCCCTTTATGTCTTCTGCAGACAGGCTTTGCAAGCATTCCCCTTATGGAATTTTTCATAGAATCCCAGAATGGTTTGGGCTTGCAAGGCACCTTAAAGATTATTAAAATCCCCAGCCATGGGCAGGACACCTTTCACTGTTCCAGGTTGCTCCAAGCCCTGTCCAGCCTGGCCTTGGACACTTCCAGGGATCCAGGGGCAGCCACAGCTGCTCTGGGCACCCTGTGACAGGCCTGACCTCCCTCACAGGGGAAGGATTTCTCCCAATATCCCATCTAACCCTTCACTCCATCAGTGTGAAACCATTTCCCCCATCCTGTCACTCCAGGCCCTTGTAAAAAGCATTCTCACTCTTTTATTTAAGTTATTTTTGCAAGTGCCTTACCAACAAAAGCCCAGCCAAAGATACTTTTTCCTCCTCCATGATTATGTCCATCTCTGATGCTTCATTATTAGCACAAGAGCAGGCTGGGCTCTTGAATATCCTTTACCCTGATTTTTTCCCCACTGATTTTGAGCTGTGGAAAACTCTGCTGCTGCCTCTGCGACTGCCACTTGTGCTTGCAGAGCAGGGAAGGGCTGCCCCTTTCACCCACACCTGCTCAGAGCCCTCAGGCACATCTGACTATTGGATTACTCAGGAGCTCTCTGGTTTTAAGTTCCCTGTGTGGAAATGCACGGTGTTGTAACGAGTACACAATCAATTATGCATTTCTTGTCATGCTGTCCCCATTCTTTGTCATGGTTGCAACAAAGGCAAAGTAGGGTGGAAAATGCCAAAATGCCCATTGCTTCCTGGTTTTCATAGGAAAAATCTGACAAATTGTGCTGTCTCTTAGCCAGGCTGTTGGTAGGGAGCTCTGCCCAGGACAGGCAGCACAGTGAGCAGTGCAGGGCCTTATTTAGCTATAAAATATTCATGTCACCTCACTTTTCCTCAGCTTGCCACAGGCAGCGTAGCACAGTGCTCCAGTCTGCTCAGGGAGGAATCCACTGGTGGATATTCTCCAGATTATTTGCCCACAGAAATGTCTGAAATGATGATCTGTGACCCTCAGTGAATGGCAAATCCTGGGAAGCAATTATGCCAGCCACTGTGCTGTCCCTGCAGCCATCAAAGGTGTTAGAGGGCTGGGTGCAGGCTTTCCCACTGCCAGGGGTGCACCCCTGTGGCAAGCTGTGATTTTAGGTGAGCTCCTGCAAGCTGGGGGATTTAGCAAACCTGCTGAGATCTCCTGGCCCCTCTTGCTGTGGCAGCACAGCCTTTGCTCCCTGCTGCTCGTGCTTGTTGTGCCCTCTCTCAATGCCCTGTGACATCCCAGGATGCTGGGACCACAATCTTTCTCTGCTCCTCATCCATGTAGACAAAACAAGATGAATTTTGGACCCTCTGGAGCACTTTCCAGTGAGGCCATAGGAGACTGTGCAGAGCAGAGTGTGAAACTGGAGCTGATCAATCAGGCTGCATTTCTGCCTCGAGCACTGCAGTGGGAACAGCTGCTCTGGGAATGGGGAAATGGAGGGATCCTAAACCCGACAGTGAGCAATACCACCAGGGGCTTTTCCATCCCAGACAAAAGTGACTTAGAGCTATCACTTCTCAGCCTCCTTCCTTAAAATAAACCACTTCAGAAGATGTTGTTTTTATGGAAGTTAAACACTGGGGTTGGAGTGGACATAAGTTCTCTTAACAATAAATGGAAGCGTCGAGTTTCCAGGAGACAGTGTCAGGATCTATTTTAAGGCCAACCAAAGAATAGCTAAATATGGTTTGCAGAGAGGTGCCAAGTTCTCTTTCTGATCTGTGCCACATGACTAAAGAGATTTTGGCTATATAGGTGCTTTCACCAAAAATCCCTAAGGAACAAGAGTAAGAAGATGTGACAACAGGCTGAAACAGCTTTTTAAAAATATTCTTTGTCAAACAACATGTAAAAAATAGCAGCTAACAACAACCCTTGATTTACAGCCAGGAGCAGCAAAAGAGTATTTGAGTTTAAAACTGAGCTGCCATTGGTTCTAAATAGGGATTTGCTTCCATCTGGATAACTGCAGCCTGACAAACACGGCAGGGCACGTCCTGTGCCCTGTCCCCAGCTCCTGCACAGCTTTCAGCGGGCATTACACGTGAGAAAAGCCCTTTTCCCTCTCCCAGCCTGTTTATCCGGGCTGACTGGTCTGTGATTGCTTCCTGTGGCTCAGGCAGAAAAGATTTTTGGGGGGCTCCAGGGGAGGCTGGATCCCTGCTGCCCCCAGGGAAACCTGAAGGAAAGTGCAAAGTCAACAGCAGGGCTTTGATAAAGGAGTGCCTTTATCTCACTCCTTTGATAAAGGAGTGCCGGTATTCCACTCCTTTGATAAAGGAATGATGGTATTTCACTCCTTTGATAAAGGAATGATGGAATTTTGCCCGGTCAGGCTGCCCCAGGGAAGTCCTTGCCAGTGAGGCTGCAGCAGGGAGAGGGGAAGTAGGGATGGAAGGAAGGAAGGAAGGAGGGCAGAGAGCCTAAAGGGAAATAACCTCCCCTGCTTCTTGCACACAGCATTGTCTTCAAGGGAGGAAACTCCCACAGGCTTTTGGCCGCTTTCTAGTAAAAAGGAAAAACAGCTTCATGCTATTTAGCAATGAGCTGTAAACACAGTCAGACTCCAGAAATTTAAGCTTAAGTAAAAGTGACTTGGCAATTGGAAGTGAATTTTATGAAAATACCCAATTGCCCCAGAAGTCAAACAGAATCACTGTAATTTCTTCCCTCCCTCTCAGAGTAAGTCATTCTAATGAACCAGGGGAGCAGACTCTGCCATTTCTAATCTAATTCCCATTATTTCTGGTGGTTTGCTGGACTCACAGCAGGATTAGGGCTGCTGATAGTTTCAGCAGCCTGCAGCATGTTCTCCTTTTTCCAGATATATTTGTCTCATGGTTTAAAAAAACCCAACAATGCCACAGGAGAGTTTTCAGGATGACTGGGAAACAATTTATGATCAATAATGTGGGAACAGCAAAAATACCAGCCACTTCCACTCATTACAGATTTGGAGGGGATTCAGACCAGGGGAAAAACTAAAGGATCATGCCATAAGTAGCATCAAACCCCACAGTCTGGCACTCCTTCCACTTTGCTGATAAGGCACCTTACAGACTGGGGGCCAAACTATTGCAATGATTTTTTTCATCATTTACAGGGGATCCTTTTGAACCTCATCTTCTCCATTCGCCTCTTACCTCTCTGCAGCCACGGCTGTCATGGAGTAAATGCTCACAAACACTGCAGTGATGGGGAACCAGTTCTGAAACCTGCAGAATTCCTCACCAAAGTACCAGACATTGTGGCTGGCATAGATGAAATTGAAGATGGTGTTGAAGGCGGACATCAGCAGGTCCGAAAGCGCCAAGTTAACGATGAAGTAATTGGTCGCCGTCCTCATCCTCCTGTGAGCCAGAATAATCCAGATGATGGTGGCGTTGCCAAGGATGGATGTGACCACGATGAAGGAGTAGGTGATGGCCCACAGAGCAATCCTCCAGCCTGGCTGGCTGAACTGGGTTGCTGTTGTCCAGTTGCTGCCATTCTCCAGGGAGCCGGCCTGCGAAACGTCGCTGGCGTTAAAAACAGAAAACACGCCCATGGCTTTTCACTTCTTGTAAGTGTAGAAGAAAATCTTCTGGCACCTGCTCATTTCCTTGCAGTGGATGCTGGTGTATGAATTTCCATGCATTTAACCAAGTGCTGTTAAAAGGACATCAGGATGAGCTGTCTCATGTCCTCTCCTCCTGTCTTCCAAGTGATGCAATGCAGTTCCAGGAGAAGATGAGCCATGCCAAGGGCCTCCTCCTTCTTCCCTGGCGTTTTAACCTATGCTTGAAGAGCAAAAAACTGAAGAACAACTCTCTTCATCAAGTTTCTTTTTCCTCTAAAAAAGGAAGAAAAAAAAGGGAAAGGAAGATGTTTTCCAGGCCAGCAGCAAGTGATGTCTTCCTTTAGATTACTTTTAGGGACAAGAGAGCATAAATGGAAGCCAAAAACCACTTCAATCCAAGTAGAAACTCTTTGGCAGGGCAGCAGTTTCCTAAAGCACCAGGTGTCTGAATCCCCTGCAGTGGGACTGAGCACATTTGCTGTTTTCTTTCCCTGTGCAACTATTAAGCACGAGGCAGGAGTTGCACTGGGATAAAATCTCAACAGGTTTTAAGGGGACTTTGAAAGGAGGTGGAGTCTCTTGCAGGGAAAAACTAAACAACCAATTTGACATCAAATTAAATGTAGCAAAGTGGTATGTGAAGCTTCCTCCCCTGCTGCACTCAGTTTTGAATAACCTCTGCAATGGCCACGCTGCTCTCTCAGGATTTTACAGACTTACATGCAGGGGTAGTTTCTTCTCCAGGTTTACCAATCCTGAAATCCACAAGTTTGCAGGACCCTGCCTGAATTCCCATGAGCTCTCCCAGCAAGAGAGAAACTATATTTAATGCAATTCAGCAAGATCCTTCCTTTTGGATGGCTGCATCCCCTTTCCCAGTGTGTGCTGTGGGAACCTGGTGACCCCATGCAGGCAGAAATTTTGGGTAGGAAAGAGGAGCCCCTGGCTCTGCTGGGAGCACAGCGCTCCTGCTCGCTGTCAGCTTAAAGCAAACCAGAAGTGACACTCGAGGCTGAGATTTCCAAGAGTACTTGGCACTGACTCATGCCTGGGAGCTGAAGGGGTTGCAGGTATGAGGAGCTGCCTCCAGGACTCAGAGTGCCTCTAGTGCTGGGATGGCAGTGGTTTTCCAGCTCCTGCAGCTGGTGCCAGCTCTCCTGTAACAGGGCAGTGCTCATCACTTCAGGGTCCTTTGCACCAGCTCAGCCCAGAATCTTTCCTTGCTTCATTAATTTCTGGAGGTAGCCTTGAGTTAACACATCACCAAACCAACACTTTCAAGCAGGTTTTCTCTGCTTTTTGTGAAACATGCATATTTTATGATTGGCTTTTTGCAAATATTCAAATGAATATTATATGTGTTGTGTTAGAAAGTAATGCTGTATTAATTCTCTTAAGCAGTGTGTTAAATATAGTTTTAGGTTATAACATAAAATAGAAACCATGCTATGTAAGATAGTTTTTTTTTAAAGAGAGGAATGAGGTACTTGCACCAGATAGCAGCCACAGGACACCTGAATCTCTCAGAGAAAGAGAATTTATTACTCCATTATCGAGTTCTTCCTGCCTCACTCAGCCCTGAAGACTCAGTCAGGATTCAGAGGAAGAAGCTGACACTGCCCAGACAGAATCCTGGATTTGAATGGAATTTATGCATCATGGATGAGGTGTATGAATATGCAACAGGCTGTTGCTTTTAAGGGTTAATCCTCTGTTAACGTGGGTCCTTTTTCAGGCTTACTTTGCCCAGAAGAGGTACCCAGACCATCCATAACTTTGTTTCTATTGTCTCATATTGTCCTAATCCCAATTGTTCATATTTTTATTACTCTAATTATATTACTATTTTTATAACCATTTTATCAGTACAAAACTTTAAAAATTTTAAAAAACAAGTGATTGGCATTTTTCACACTTTTAAAGAAATCAATACCTGCAGTCCTGTATGTAATGTCTCCTCCTCTTCCCTGCAGGTAATCCCTCTCACTCCCCTACTCAGAAACTGAAAATGCACATTTGAACCTTTCTTCTCGAGTGCATTACAAAGCTTCCTCCAAGTCTTACACCTCATTAAACAGCTTAGGGACCTTCCACTTTCTGTACACAGTTCAGGAGGGCTGTTCATGACTTGCAATACCAATTCAACACCTAATAGTGTTCTTCAATTTTTTTTTTTAATATGCTGTCTGAAATCCCTGCAAATTTGAAGGAGAACAGGAGCAAAAACCTCCCCACATTTCACTGGGAGTGCACCAAGTGGTTTATTGCTTACAGAAAGTAGAACAGGAGCAAGTGCTCAGAAAAAGGGCTGCACTTATTGACCCTTCAGTGGGGAAGCTGTAACCTCTCTTGGCTGGCTTTGAAGACATTCAAGGTGCTCAGGTTTCTTAGGGACCTTCTAGTGACCCATCTGCCCCGGTCCCTGATCTGTTACTCAGGTGATAATCGAGGAGCAGCCACCCTTTGGTCAACATTTCATCTTATGAGTCAGGAGGGATTTGCCTTCCTGCATCCACACCCACTCCTTTTATTCCTGTGCTGGTTGTGCATTGACAAGGTTATCATCCTGGAGCCTGGCCAACCCTTTAGTGTGTGCTATCAGCCTTTTGACTTGGAAACTGGAGCAATTTTTGACACAGGCTGGCTCCAGATTCCTCAGGGAAGTCACATTTGCCTGAGACAGTGGGTAAAACCTCCTCAGCAGTGGTTTTGGAGTTACACCAGAGGAAGGGATTACCTGAGAGCAGGGGGTTTGGCTGGTTTCACTGTTCTTTTTATTATGGGCAGGATTGTCAAGGTCAAACGTTACCGTGCTGAGTCACCAGCCCCAGGTCTGAGCAAAGGGTGAGAGGTGCAAACAAAAGATGTGGGTCTGCAAGGCCAGGAAGGGTGATTGAGGGGGGTTTTGTGCTTTGGAAACATAATGCAAGGTAATATAGGCAGTGGAGGCTTTAATTGTGTGGAGGAAGAAGCTTTGTCCAGGGAGCAGCTCTGAGAGCAGGACAGGAGGACCATGAGCATCCACCTGGGGTGGGCAAAGTGCAGCTCCCTCAGTCAGAGCTAGGCTGGAAGGAAGCAGCAAAATTGCCTCTGGTAGCACTGAAAACCTTTGGGTCTTTCTGACATGGTTTGGTGCAGGGCCTGCTGTGGTTCACTTCTTTCCACAGAGCTCCTGAAGCCCTGGGGCAAATGCTCTGCAGTCCATGGCTCTTGGTGTCCTCAGGACAACCCCTGGCCATGAGTGAGGAAATGTGGAAGTTACTGATCCTTAATATTGTGAAAAACGCCAGTCACTTGTTTTTTTTTAAATTTTAAAAGTTTCATGATAATAAAACGGTTATAAAAATAGCAATATAATTAGAGTAATAATAATTTGAACAATTTGGATTAGGACAATATGAGACAATAGAAACAAAGAGTTACAGACAGTCCAGGTACCTTTTCTGGGCAAAATAAGCCTGAAAAAGGCCCCACGTTAACAGAGGATTAACCCTTAAAAGCAACAGCCTGTTGCATATTCATCCACCTCATCCATGATGCATAAATTCCATTCAAACCCAGGATTCTGTCTGGGCAGTGTCAGCTTCTTCCTCTGAATCCTGACTGAGTCTTCAGGGCTGAGTGAGGCAGGAAGAAGTTCTGGAAGAAGTTCGTTTCTTCTGATAAGGGAGCAATAAATTCTCTTTCTCTGAGAGATTCAGGTGTCCTGTGGCTGCTGTCTCAGTGCAAGTCCTTTCTTTAAAAAAAAAGTATCCTACATAGCACAGTTTCTATTTTAAAATTACATTATAACCTAAAACTATATTTACCACAGTACTTAAGAAAATGAATACAGCATCACTTTCTAACACAACACATATAATATTCATTTGAGTATTGGTGAAAAGCCAATGATAAAATATGCATTTTTCACAATATGAGCAAAACCACTGCTAGTTGTGCTCTTGGATGGTCCCAGGAGCAGATGCTGTAATGAACAATCTGCCAGGCTCTTTTTTGGCAAACTGCAGCCCGTGCTGCACTGGGCTCAGGGGCAGAGAACCCAATCCTGATGGACCCTTAGGCAGTCCATAACATCTTACTTTAACCACCATTTGCTGCCAAACTATGTACTGTGTCCAGAAATCTTGCCATTTGTATAGACAAAGTCTGGGATTCAGGAAAAGAAAGGGATTGCCCAATTGTGGTCGTGCAGGTTCAATTATTGTTGAGCAGTTTCAAAACAGGAACCTGTTTTGATATATTGACTCAGTTCTGAGGGAAAACAACAGGAAAACAGACACTCCTTTACTCAACTTCCCCATCCAGCAGGATGTGCCCTGAAATTTTACGTGCAGGAATCAGCACAAAGGACAAGGTAAGGTATTAAAAAGGTCAAATCAGAACAATAAATTTAATTAAATAGTCAAACAAGGAAGATGCCTAAGTGACAAGAACATGCTTGGATGTGAATGACACCCCTGAGACATGGAGACCATGTGACAGACACTAATTCCCAGCAACTACATGAGATGGGATTTCCAGCCTGCATGCCATTGCTGAGTGTCAGGGATGTTTGCAAATCTCTCTGAAAATGGAGGCTGTTGATACTTCAGAGGATGACTGCTCTAGGACATTGTGTTTCTGTCAGAAACATTAGAGGTGAAGAGCTGTTCTGTTGCTGGGAGTGTCCTGGGCTGGATTGTTTTCCAGAAGCAGGATGTAGTAGCACTGCAGGCAATAGCAATAGTACTTTTTATAACAGAATTATCCAGGGAAATTTTTTAGCCTTTAGAAAGGAGACTTTGGTGCACTGTGTGACCTAAAGAAATGACGTGTGACAATGTTTACACAGTTCTCATAGGCAGCTCAGAGGTTTCCCAGTCTCTTTGCTGGGTAACTTAGGGATAAATGCTGCCCCACTTCATCTCCCCTGACAGCAGACACTGATTTTCAATGCCATCTGTCTCTGCTCCAGGCCAGGCTCAAACAACCGACTCTGTGACAGTTCTCTGCCGCTTTGAATGAGACTGTTTTCCCCGGGGGGAAAATAGCCCTTTGTGGGACAGGAGTGCAGCACGGCGGGCTTGAAAGGGCTGATTTCA